TAAAAAAAAAAAAAAAAAAAAAAAAATCAGGATAATCAAAGAAGTAATCTTGAAAGGCTTTAATCTTTTTGGGCGTTTTTTTATTTTATTTTTTTTTTTTCATTATTCAAATAGTAATAGATAAGATAGTTTGGCATATTTGCATATTTTTGGCAAAATAAATTCATTCGCTTTTATAAAAAAAGATAAAAAATATATATATATATGTAATAAAATAAATAAATAAAATAAATAAATAAATAAATAAAGTAAATAAATAAATAAATTTATAAAAAATAAATAAATAAATAAATAAATATTAAGATATAAAAAACAAGAGATCCGTTATCTTTAGTTATCTTATCAAACTGTTTTTCTTTATCATACGGATTCATACCCAATACCAATATATGTAATATATGGTTTTTGTTGTTTTGGTTACAATTTAAACAAAAAGGAAAAGTTAACTTGATTTTATTATTAATTCGAATTTTAAATTTAAATTTATAAAGTTTTTTTAAAAATAATTTTACCCAGGCAATTAAAAATGAATAAGATGAATAAATTGACTCTGACAAATGACCTTTTGTTTACACCTAAATGACCTAAATGACTAAATGAATAATGAATAATGAATATCACTAGTCTCACGTCACGCTACAATTTATTTACTTTTATTTACTAACAATAATAATTTTTTTGACACCCTCGTGATATTAAAGACTCAGAGTTGAAAAAGAAAATATTAGGTAATTAAAATTGACAGAAAATTTTATATTATATAAAAATAAAATCTATTAATAGTACCTAAAATTTTTTCAAAAAGTTCATTTAACCTGATTTAATTTAATGCAAAAAAAGAAAATATTTCCACAATACTCACTCACAATACATTTCTATCTTTCTTAAATTCCAAATATAAAATATCATTTTAACTAGGAAAATGCATGGATTCCGCCAATTTTTCTCGGTATGTGCCATTTTACTAAAATAATTTCATAATAAATGAAATAATATATCCTGTTTAGGTTAAATTAACATGTCAATCTTATATCAAATTTATCCATTAACGGACACAATAGTAAATTTTCTTCATTTATTTAATTAGTATATAATTATTTTTAGGTCAAGAAGTAAAATAGGTTAACTTATTAGAGAAATATTAAAAAAAAAAAGGTGAAAAGTTTCACAGGGGGGAAGAAAATAAATAATAATATAACTATTTTGATGACTCATATATGTATAACAACAATAACATACGAACATCGGATTTTTAATGCAAGTTGATGTGCGTCCGCCCCTCTCAAAATTTACTTTTTTTATACTTTGTGAATTATATTTCGGGTAAAAAGGATAACAAAGATCGGGAAATATTAAAAAAAAAATTTTTTTTTTTCTTTTTTTTTAAGGTTCTAGAATCAGGGAAATCTTAATATAGGTATTACGGATAATTTTAATTTTAGGTATTTTAGGTAATATGATCAAAAAAGAGAGATTTTTTTTTACGGGGCTTATTTACGAGATGAGTAAAAAGGCGTTTTTTTTTGGGGGAAAAAATTTTTTAAAAACTTTATATACTTTTTTTGTAAAATACCGGTTTATTAAGGTTTACCTTTTTTATTTTCGCGATAGTAAAAATTTGGATGACCGAATAACGAGACTCGGAATAATCGGGATACTCGGGATACTCGGAATAATAGAATAACAATAATAAGGCTAATCTTTAATCTTGCATGTTTAAAGTAAATCTATCAAAAGATCATATTTTCTAAAATAATTTTGTCTAGAATCATTTATTTTAGAGTGGGAATTTTTTTAATTAAACTTTTAAAAGTTATATTTAAAAATACCCCTTAAAATTAGGTAATCAAATGTTGAAAATCTTTGAAGGATATTTGATTAACGATTAGTAAACATACATGTTTACTTGTTTACGAAAACGCGTAACTTAAAACTTTATGGATTTTATAGATTAAAAAAGTAAAATTATTAAAAATTCTATTTTTTTTCAAAAATATGAAATTGTGAAATTTAAAAAAAAATTGATACATATATTAAATAAATAATGATATATTTATACATATATATATTGATATATTGTAGATCTTCATAACTTCTTTTTTAACAAAGTTATTTTATTTCTTTTTAAAATTCGCGATATTTTTTTATAAATATTTTTTTTAAATTAAGAATTATTTTTTAATAAAATAGAATTTTTAAAATTTTTTTAATTTAAATACGTGTTTTTTTATTTTTATAATTATATTATTTTATTTTTTTAAAATGTAATATTATCGATTTTCGTTATTTAATAAATTTGAATTATTTTCTTT